ACATACAACAAACTTTGCATAGAGTATACTGGCACATCAAGGAAGTAATTAGGCACAAATATTAGCATGACAAAATAAGGTGATTAATAGAATAACTAATTGTTTATGTGTGGTCAGATAGCAGATATAAATTGTTGGCCTACTAACAAATATAAATTCATTGGTCATTTGATATTGGATTTAAACAAAATAGTTGATGAAAATATATAATGGTAATATATACGGCTATTAAAAGCATAGTAATTAAAATACAGTTATGTAATAAAAATATCATGATTGTGTCGTAAAAGTGACGGGTTTAGTAAAAGTACATATTGTAGATCATATAGTGATTAAAAAAGGATAATATACAAGATATATATCTCGAGTGATATACATATAAGATATCAAGTTATATATTTGCTATTAGGGCTGTGGGAATAATTAAGATTTATTATTTAAAAAAGAGTAACCACTAATAAAGCCTAGGTCTTTGTTTAATCCATTAATGTGTGATTTCAGATGAAGGATCCAACGTAATTCGGTAGTTAGATCCTACAACAATGAACCTTAAATCTTTGATGGAATGGTCTGTAGAATGAAAGTGTTCACTTACGGGAAAACCCTTTAGTTTATCCCTGATAGATTTCTTGTGATTATTGATTCTTAAACGGAGTTTACATCCCGTTTCACCTACGTAGTTACCTTTGTTGCATATGGTGCAATATATAATATAAACAGCATTGGAGGCATGGCAGTTAAGTGGTGGAGCATGGATGATGATGTTGGTACCAGGAACTCTGAATCTATCGGATGTGTCAATTATAGTGCATAGTTGGCATCGCCTGTTGTTACAAGCCATGTTACCATGAGTAGGATTAGCCAAGGGTAAACTGGAGAAGGTGAGAAGAGATTTAAGATTAGGGGGTTGGCGTTGAGCTAGAATCGGAGGATGAAGATAGAGTTCTGATATATTGGGGTCCTTCTGAAGAGTCTTGTAGTCATTCTTGATGGAGTTGCCGACAGACTTGATAGGGGGACAGCGATCAAATACCATAGGTATACGAGTATCGGGGATAGGTCTATGGGTGTAAGATAAAAGGTCTGAGCGAGATTTAGAAGATGCTTTTAATATAGCAGATAATATTAGTTTGAGGGGATAGTGACAATTCAAAAAGTTAGTAGTGAGGCGAGACAGTTGTTGTTGGTAGTCTGTAGGGTGCGAACAGATTCGCTTGAGTCTGAGACACTGACTGTACACGATAGACCGTTTAAGAGTGATAGGATGGTAGCTGTAAAAGTCAAGGTACTGATGATTGTCTGTAGGTTTGTAATATATGGATGTAGATATGTTGCCTCCGTTTCTGCCAACTAATACATCTAGAAATGGAATGGACTCACTAGAATATTCAACAGTGAACTTAATACTATGATGATAATTATTGATGATAGATATAAAATTTATAAGCTTATCTTTACCATGTTCCCAAATAAAAAATATGTCATCAATATAGCGTGAGTAATGAGAAGGTTTAAATACTAGGCTAGACAGTAAATCATTTTCTAATTCTGCCATAAAGACATTCGCATAGCATGGGGCCATTTTGGTTCCCATTGCTGTACCTGTTGTTTGGAGGTAGTAAGAGCCATTAAAGCTAAAATAATTGTGTTTAAGAATAAAATCAATTATTTTGCAAATGTCCTTAGCTGGTAATTCTGAATGGTAGTCCGTGAGAAATCTTTCGCAAGCAGTTACACCT